AATTAGAACAAAATGTGGATGAGTCAAGTAGTGAGTTAGGTAGTGTGCAGGCAAAGGAGATTTTGTTGAAGGTGTGGAATGAAGTAATGGATGATGCAAAGGCATTTAAAACAACAGAGGAAATATTCAGCAATATAAACTTATCACAGGATTTGTATGAAAAAGCACACAGAGTATTGGCCTCTAAAACATTGACTGTTTTGAAACGAAATCCAACAGAAATGTGGACAAATCAGTACAACCCATGCCTGCTCAAAAGCTGGGATGCAAATATGGATATACAGTATGTATTAGACCCTTTCAGCTGCATTGTCTACATTATATCATGCATTTCAAAGTCTGAAAGGGAGATGGGAATGCTATTAAAACAAACTCAACTTGAAGCAGCAGAGGGAAATTTGAGTGCACATGATACCATCAAGAGAGTAGGATCAGCTTATCTCAATCACAGAGAGGTCAGTGCACAGGAAGCAGTATACAGGGTGTGCAATCTGAAGATGAAAGAAAGTTCAAGAAAAGTCATTTTCATTCCTGTGGGGGAAAATCCAACTCGTCTGAGTAAGCCTCTTGCACAAATAAAAAAAAATCGGGAAATTGAGGTTGATGAAAATGATTTAAATGCAGATGACAATGATGAGGAAGAAGATAGTATGTGGATGACAAATATTGTGGAAAGGTATGAAAACCGCCCAGAGTTAAATATTTTCCATAAAATGTGTCTTGCTGAATTTTGCTCAGAGTACAGAGTGCTTAGTAAATCTCAGATCCCTACGGGCAAAAAAGATGGTGTGTATGAATTGAGAAATGGAAAGGGTTACATTCAAAAGAGAAGTAGAGGCAAACCTGCTGTAATACGATATCCAAGATTCCATCGAGATAACGCACCTGAGAAATATTATCAGTGTCTGCTACAACTTTTCCTTCCATACTGGAATCTGAATCAGTTGAGACCAGCTGGATTTGATTTGTACCAGACATTTTATGAGAGTGGACATGTGAGGGTGAAACCAAACACAAACTTGGAAAAAGTTAAAAGCATAGTGGACAGTAATCATGTTTACTTCTCAAAAAGTGAGGATGATATTGAAAATGCCCAGGATGCATTAGAAATGCTTGGTGAACCAGAGGACGCATGGGCAAGTTTATGTCCAGAAACAGAATTAAATCGAAGAGAATGTTTGAATGAAAAATTAAGAAATGATCAGGAGAATACAGAATCAGAGGTCACAAATGAAATTGAGTGTAGTGGCTCTGATGATGCTATATATCATTTAAGAGAGACTCAAAGCACCAGAAAAGAGATGCTTCCTTTACTGTGCAGTTTGAATGACAAACAGAAGCTCATCTTTTATGCTGTTCATGAATGGTGTGTCAAGAAAATGACTGGAGAGAATGTAAAACCTATGCACATTTTTATAACTGGAGGAGCAGGGACAGGGAAAAGCCATCTGATTAAGACAATACACTATGAAGCTTCTCGTCTCTTTGAAAAATCATTGCCTTCTCCAAATGCAGTATCGGTGATTCTCACAGCTTTTACAGGAACAGCAGCATTCAATATTGGAGGAAATACCATTCATCATGTGTTTTCTTTAACAAAAGCTTTACCAATTCCATATCAACCCTTGAAGGAACAAAGTTTGAGTGGGATAAGAACGAGATTAGAACATTTGCAGATTTTGGTCATTGATGAGGTTTCCATGGTGTACAAAAGATTGTTGTATTACATTCATGAACGACTTGTCCAAATCAAAAAATGTAAAGATCCATTTGGTGGTGTATCTGTGATAGCAGTTGGAGATTTTTATCAACTTCCACCTGTTAAACAACGAAAAGATGAAAGATTGTACAAAGAAAATGGTTCATATCCAGTTGACTTCTGGCTAGATTTTTTTAAAATTGTAGAATTAGATGAAATTATGCGACAACGTGAAGATAAAGCATTTGCAACTGTTCTGAATTCATTGCGTGTTCGAACATGTGAAGAACCTTTATCAGATGAAGCATTGGAAACACTGCGGGAATGCATCAGAGAAGGACCAGATGATGTTCTTCATGTTTATTCTACTAACCAAGAGGCCAATGAATTCAATCTTAAAATGCTGCATGGGAATTGTGAGGAATTAATTGAAGTGCATGCAGATGATTATCAGAAAGATAAGACAACGGGGAAATTAACTTTACGTGACAAACCTTTGGTTAGTACCCGAGTTGATGGCCTCTCTGCTACCTTACTTTTGGCTGTGAATGCAAGAGTAATGCTGACACGAAATGTATGTGTTGAAGATGGACTAGTGAATGGTGCAATGGGATATATTTCAAATTTTGTGTTTAAAAGAAAACAGCCTGCACCAGCAGTAGAAGTAGTTGAAGTCATTTTTGATAGTTCAAGTATTGGTAAAATACAAGGGAAGAAAACACCCAAAGGGAATATTGTCCCAATTAAAAGAGTGGAGGAAGAGATGAATGAGAAAAATATAAAGAGTATTGTCAGACATCAATTTCCACTGAAACTGTCATGGGCATGCACAGCACATAAAGTTCAAGGCATGACCGCCAAGAGTGTTGTTGTGAACTTAGATCGGACTTTCTCTCCTGGTCAAGCATATGTAGCAGTCAGCCGTGTTACTTCAAAAGATGGTCTGTTCATTGAGATGAATGATGAAAGTGTCCTGCAGAAAAAAATTTATGCTGATTTAGATGTGAAGTTAGCACTTAATAGAATGGTAAGATACAATTTAGATGAAGAATTGACATGCAATGTAGCAAAGTTTGAAAATTACAAAACAATTCTATTGTTTAATGTGCAGAGTTTGAGAGGACACTTTCAGGAGATGAATTGTGACAGCAGGTTGATGAAAGCTGATTTTGTATGTTTAACAGAAACATGGCTGAGAGAAAATGAGAACATCCGAGATATTGAAATTTCAGGGTTTGACTTTCACCATATTCCACGTAGCCAGTGTTACGATGATAGTGAAGATGTGATGACAAGACTAAAAACAGCTAAAGGTGGTGGGGTTGGAGTGTACAAGAAGAAAACCAATGAGACAATCTTGATCAATGCTTTGGAATACAAGAATATAGAGGGATTAACTGTAGAAATCCATGAGGAGGATATTGCAATCATTGTACTCTACCGACCGAGTGTACTACCTGTAAACAATTTTCTTGACACATTGCAAAAAGTGGTGGATTTTTACAAGAAGCGTTTTAGCAACTTGTTCATTATTGGTGACATGAATGAAGATGCCAAAGCCCAAGGACCCATACAAACATTCTTAGAATCTATGGGATTTATGCAGTTGGTGCAGTTTTACACAACAGAGGGTGGAACAACTTTAGATCATGTATATGTTACTGGTTCTCTGGAAGCCTGTGTGCACAAAAAATCGTTGTTTTTCAGTTATCATGAAGCTATAGAAATTCATGTGAGAACTCAAAAAAATAAAGATTCAGACTAATTTTGAGTTGACATTATTTTGAACGGGAATTATCTGTCATCTTCCTGGATGAAAAATGGATTTAGTTTATTATCACATATACTAGTAATCTTAATTTCAAAGTCACTGGTCCTCATAATAAGTTAAGCTCTTTTTTATAATCAATGAAAAAATTATTTGGTACCTTTTCATTGGTTGAAAGAACGTGACATTATTGGAATGATTTAATTACCGGTAATATAAATTAGTATAAATAATTTATCAGTAATAAATACAAAGCAAATTTTTTGTTAAAGAAGAGTATAGTGTTGAAATTATGTGATAACATGTATCATATGTTGGTAATGATTGTGTTTTTTTTTGTGTTTAGAAATCTTCGTTGAGATCAAGATTAGATTCCACATCCATTTTCAATGATCAGACTTCCATGCAGTAAAGTCTACATGTTTTGAAGATAGAAAACATCTACAAATTGAAGGTAATATATCAACATAAAGTTTTGATGAATGTCTAACATGTAGTACAGTGTAGTATTTCGAGAGGGTTTATTTGCAAGATATAAACATGATAAAGATATTTAACTGAAAAGGAAAATTTTATTAAATATTTCATCAAACATACATGTGAAAGGAGGCTCATTACACCACTTTTTGATGATTTACTACACAAAAAATTGAACAGGTTGCCCTACTTACAAAGTGTCTGTTGAGACATAAGTGTCTGTTGAGACTGTAGCTTTACTGGTTTATACTTATAACAAACTAAGAGAAAAGTAGCAGTTTGTTCTTCAAACATTAAAACAGCAATTAGAATAATAATCCTTGATTAAGTCACTTTTTTCTGGCAATATACATATTGCAATAAGATTGCAACTAAAGGAGTAGTTTTTAATAAAATTTACAGAATTTTCAATTTTAATTAAGACACCGCAAGGATTTGTGGGTGCCCTATAGTAATCACTCTGTCTGTCTGTCTGTCATTCTTCCTTCCACAAATTTTCTGGCTTTTCCCAATAACTTTTTTTTTGGTCGCCCATTTAAGATCAAAGAGCCATAGCTCATTTGATAGTCACTTTCGCCTACTCTAGTAGTGATTTTTTAAATACTTTCCTTAACCAAAATTTTGTCATACAATGTTAGTTTATACATGCTTTAAAGCAACTCACACAAAAATAATACTCAATTATTAATAGTTCCCTAATATAATAGTTATAAAAATTGTTCAGTTTATATGGAGAATGTAGTAAATACTGAGGTACCCCCCTAAACAATGACAAACTGTACGAAAAGACCACCCTTAACCAGAAAAACACATCTGTCTCAATTTTATCCATTTGGTTATCAAGACTTCCTGGCGTGGTGGTATGATTGCTGCACGGAAGACATAACGATCGTGAGTTCGAGTCTCACAGTGCACGTTACTTAATTACGATTTCATTTTTTTTTCTCTGTGTTCATTTTCCTTTGTTTTCTTTTATTTAATAAATACATGTTTAAATAATTTTTAAGATATGTATAATACAACATTGCATAAAAGATAAAAAAAAAAAATGCTGGATTGATGACATAACAATCTTGAGTTCGAGTCTCACAGTGCGTGTTACTTAATTATGATTTTTTTTTTCTCTGTGTGCATTTTCCTATGTTTTCTTTCATTTTATAAATACATGTATAAATAATTTTTAAAAGAGATATATAATACAACATTGCATATTGAAAGTATCTTGGGGAAAACAGTCTTAAACTATTTTAATAACCCAAAGTCATAGCTGTTAGCCTGTATTATTTTTAAAATTTCAAACAATCTTGTTTAGAGCAAGTAAAATTACTGTCATGCAACAAACTTGCAACTTTGAAAATATAACACTGGTTCACAAATGATTACATACATGGAGTTTGATTTTGAATTGAAAAGCTTTGTGTATAATCTATAAGTAGAAACAAGTGATTTTCTTTTAATACTTGAGTAGGCCGAATCGTCTGTAAGGTAGCTATGGATCTTTGGTTCTTTGCTTTCTTTCAATAAGAGTACCAAATCCTCTGATGTGCACATGTAGAGTTGAGTACTGAATGGGTAGGCATCATCTGATTGGCTGAATTCAGGTAAGTAATTATCTTAGTCTAACACAGTTGGCCGCAGTAGGGTGTCATCAGTTCAGAAGGTCACAGTACCCAAGACGCTGAGGTTGCAGGACTCAAATTTCATACATGTACTCGGGTAAGCTTAAAATCTTTAAAAATTACTAAATTGACTAATTCCAAGGTAGGTAACAATGTGAGTATAGGAGTGAGAGTACCAAACCTTGGATGTGCACATGGCTTTATTTGTGGCGCATGTAGAGTCGAGTACTGAATGGGTAGGCATTATCTGATTGGCTAAATTCAGGTAAGTAATTATCTTAATTTTAAAGTAAAAATATTAATGTTTGAAATGAATGATGGAATGGGGAAATATTATAGAAAGTATAGAAAAGCCAGGGGAAGTTTTAGGAGTGGGGATTGATTTTTGACATAACATGTTATTTACTGCCGATCTCTCAAAGTTGCAGAAAAGGGCCATTTTGACCTATAAACGCCATGGGACCCTATATTTTTAGCTCACCTGAGCCGAAGGCTCAAGTGAGCTTTTCTGATCAAAATTTGTCCGTCGTCTGTTGTTGTCTTTGTCGTCGTCGTTGTCGTTGTCGTAAACTTTTCACATTTTCATCTTCTTCTCAAGAACCACTGGGCCGATTTCAACCAAACTTGGCACAAAGTATTTTTGGGTGAAGGGGATTCAAGTTTGTTCAAATGAAGGGCCACGCCCTTTTCTAAGGGGAGATAATCATGATTTTTAAAAAAATTAATGGCATTTTAACAAAATCTTCTTTTCAAGAACCACTGGGCCAGGAAAGATGAAACTCGTGTGGAATCATCCTCGGGTAGAGTAGATTCAAGTTTGTTCAAGTCATGACCCCCGGGGGTAGGGCGGGGCTAAAATGGCCGATCAAAGTTTTACATAGGAATATATAGGAAAAATCTTTTAAAAATCTTCTTCTCAAGAACCACTGGGCCAGGAAGAATGAAACTCATGTGGAATCATCCTCAGGTAGAGTAGATTCAAGTTTGTTCAAGTCATGGCCCCGGGGGGTAGGGCGGGGCCAAAATGGCCGTTCAAAGTTTGTATAGGAATATATAGGAAAAATCTTTTACAAATCTTCTCAAGAACCATTGAAACAGGAAAGATGAAACTCATGTGGAATCATCCTCAGTAGAGTAGATTCAAGTTTGTTCAAGTCATGACCCCCGGGGGTAGGGTGGAGCCAAAATGGACGATCAAAGTTTTACATAGGAATATATAGGAAAAATCTTTTAAAAATCTTCTCAAGAACCATTGAAACAGGAAAGATGAAACTCGTGTGGAATCATCCTCAGGTAGAGTAGATTCAAGTTTGTTCAAGTCATGACCCCCGGGGGTGGGGCGGGGCTAAAATGGCCGATCAAAGTTTTACATAGGAATATATAGGAAAAATCTTTTAAAAATCTTCTTCTCAAGAACCACTGGGCCAGGAAAAATGAAACTCATGTGGAATCATCCTCAGGTAGTGTAGATTCAAGTTTGTTCAAGTCATGGCCCCCGGGGGTAGGGCGGGGCCAAAATGGCTGTTCAAAGTTTTACATAGGAATATATAGGAAAAATCTTTAGAAATCTTCTTCTCAAGAAGCACTGGGCCAGGAAAGATGAAACTCATGTTGAATCATCCTCAGGTAGTGTAGATTCAAGTTTGTTCAAGTCATGACCCGCGGGGGTAGGGCGGAGCCAAAATGGCCGATCAAAGTTTTACATAGGAATATATAGGAAAAATCTTTTCAAGAACCATTAAAACAGGAAAGATGAAACTCATGTGAAATTATCCTCAGGTAGTGTAGATTCAAGTTTGTTCAAGTCATGACCCCGGGGTAAGGGTGTGGCAAAAATAGCTGACGAAAGTTTTACATAGAAATATATAGGGAAACCCTTTTAAATCTTCTTTTCAAGTACTTCAAAGCCAGGATTAGTAATATTTGTATGGAATCATCCTCGGGTAATGTAGATTCTAGTTCGTTCAAATTATGATCCCCTTGGGGGTTAAAATTCACCCCCCCCCCAATTTAAATTAACTTTCAGTTCTGATCTGATATGTGTTTTTTCCTAGCTGATGTGCTCAGGTGAGCGCTGTGGCCCCTGGACCTCTTGTTTTCAGTATATTTTGTAAGTGCAAAGAAAAATTTTTCCAATGATACCAAGGATATGTCTGAAATTACAATAGGTAAGTACTCAGAGGGCCTAAGATTTGTATTGAGTTCTGTAGGAAATTAATTGGTACTCTTTTCCCTATCGAGTAAGCTAAGAATAATGCCAGATATATTTGAGACCCTGAAGGAGAAATTAGCCTCATTAAGTGAAAAGGTTGGGGGTTGCTGGCTTTGGACAAGGGGGAGGGCTAGAAATGGGTATTGGAAGATGAGGGTAAATTGGCCGGAGGAGGGCAGTACAGTCGAGAGGATGCATCAGGTAGCTCTTATGGAAGAGAAGAGACAGACTAGGTCGCAGTTTGCACTTGCAGGCCTGGAGGTCAGTTATCTCTGCCATGAGAAGTTATGCATCGACCCGATGCACCTTACTCTGGAGCCGCATGCAACTAACCAGGAGAGGATCCACTGCAAGGACCAGGGGTTTTGTTGTGGGGCTCACCACCTTAAATGCATTTTTTATAGTAATTTAAAATATATTTTTTGAATATCAACTTGTTTATTTCCTGTTTTCGAATAATTGTGTTCAGGGGGATTTCTCTTATTGCCTCGGGCATTCAGCTAACATCATGTTTTTCTTGTATTTTACTTCTTCCTGATGTTCTTCTTAAAGTTTATATAATATCTTACGTTTAATTACCCTTTTTGTTTTATACGATTGAGTTTTCTGATACGATTTATTTTATTCATGCTCATTTTTTTATTTTATTCAGGGTCTGGTCCACTTGGCCACCAGTGGGGATGGGGACACCAACCCCTGCACAGAGACTTTGGAGTGGGCTGCCCAGACCATGATTTGATGAGTGAGCTGCACTGTGGGTCCGACCAGCAAAGTTTCTTGTGAAAGTAACATTTCAAGGCAGGGATCGTCGCAGAGTTCTGTTGAAGCTTTCAACCTTTTGCGAGTTGGTGTTTTTGATCGTCCTGTCCAGTACAGCTGGAGACAACCTCTTAGAGATGCAGGCATGGAGCCTTGCCTCATTTTCCGTGGAAGACGGTATTGTAAAACCTTGACCTAAATAAGAAATCTTGCTAACCCAGTTATTTATTACTTTCCCTTTGCACACCAGAGAATGTTTTCTGCATGATGCATGGTCTCCCATGTAACATTTCACAATTGCAAGTTTGGCATATGAGAGCTTGTTTTTTAATTTATCTGCATCTCCAGCATATGTACTGCATGAGCTTGATTAATCTCAGCTGTACATCTGTCAACAGCATCTAGGGCAAAATTATGCAAAAGTTTGGTGTTTTTCTGCTTTAATTGGTTCTCTTTGGCATAACCTCTGAAAGTTTCTGATCTATTTTAATTGACTTTCTGATTGACTTGGACAAGTGTCGAGTGTCAATATAGTGAACTGGGATATTTTGCAGCAGATTGTCCTTATAGAGGGAATCTGCAGCTCAACCAACAGAGCTGTCCATGTCAATGATTACCTTGAGTCCATCTTTGCAGAGGAGTTCCGCCATCCCCTCCCGAGTCCAAGTGAAGTCATCCTGAATGGTATGGTGCATGGGTAGATTTGCCCCACACACCCCCCAGGACTACACTGATGGTTTGAAGTGCCCTCATCAAGTAAGTGTCCATGCTTTGAACAAATTTTTTTTTTATCATCTGATGTCTTGTTGTGACATTCTCGGCAAATGAGTATACAGTCTGTGTCGCTGACTGGAAGGGTGTCTCACCCACCCCCGAGTACAAGGGGTTATTGTACATGCCATCGCACTGTACAGGGATGGCATGTGGGGAGCCACTTCCCCTTAGAGTGTTGACATCCACCAGCCGGTTACTCATGTCAGCCTCGTTAAGGTTTCCAATAATTGGCATAATTTTGTTTGATGTCTTTTGTAGAGACTTTCTCGTAGGAGGGGGAGTGTTGGTAGAAGGAAAGATTTTCCTCATTCCATCATTGCCTATAGGGGTTTGACTAAGGCCAACTTGAAGCACATAGTTAACAGTGGCAGCTTTCCTACCTGGGGATTTGGTCTCTACCTCCTCATACAGATTGTACCGCCTTGATACATATAGACACTTGGTACATTGAAGGCCCATCCGGCTTCCCAGACCACGCCTCTCATCAAATGCCAGATCTCACTCAAGCGTTCCATCGCACCCCGTATTCCCTTGCAGGTGGAGAGAGATCACCTCATTCCAGATCTCGGCTGTTTTCTCAAGGTGTAGCAGTAAATAGGAATTTTGATTAGCCAATCTTAGTAAGGCCAAATAAAATTGAAATCTTGATTCTCAGGCCCGCCCGCATCTGTTTTGAGGTAACCGCATTGCTGATTTTATTGTTTTTTTGATAAAATAAAAAGTTGATATTGCGGAGACCAATCCGGGAAAATAATTTCCGACCTCATTTGTTTTGTAGTTTAGTATTCAAATATCACTTCCGGTAGCAATTTACAATGAGATTTTGGCTCCTTCGCTTGAAAATACATTCAAGGACATTACCTACGATATTTACGTTGTTAAGCAATGGATAAAGCAGTAATTTTGACCAGAAATGGAAAGTATATCTGTAATTTAAAAAATTATCTTTATGTTTAAGAAAATTCGGAAATTAAAAATTAAAAAAATACCTCCCTCATCTAATTTTTTGCCATTTAAATGAAAAATAAAATGCCGCCCTCCCGCATCTGTTTTGGAGAAAGTTGGCCTGAGAACCAAGGAATTAAATTTACATAGCCTAAATATACCATTTTTCATTTGCTTGAGACAGATGGAAGTTTTCAGTACATGAGAGCACATATTAGAGTTACTTCCCTTAGACTGTCTGACAAGACATAAGAAATTTTAACATCATATAAATTTAATTCTTTGAAATGAATGCTTCTGATTTCTTTTCTTATGTACCTATATGACTTTCAACTGCATGTATTACATTTTACTTTGCATGTATTAATTTACATTTATTTACTTGTAATAGTATGTAATATGTATCCTACCCTAGTATTGTCCATTTTTTCCCATATTTAGTTATATGAAAGGTAAGTAAGACTTGATTTGTTAGAATTTTTATGAACTATTGCTCAATTATAAATGTTTTATACAAAATTTGACTTACTGTTCTGATTCATTTGTATTTAGGCACTTTGGAGGGCTTTCAACTTTCGGTCCCTTCGGCCTAAGGAGATAGTGGCACATGCGCCGCACGAGCATTTCCTGCCCTTCCGCAGCTATAGGAGTTTCTGAAACCATCTGATGCATCTGCTGGGACAGTCTGTTGTACCGTGCAGGTAAAATTTTCACTCCCTTATTATGGGGCACATTTTGAGGTTTGAAACCATAGTTATGACCCTTTTTGAACTTTGGCATGTTTTTTTTATTTATATAATAAATAGTTCTTTTATTAATATACTCGAAATAAAATGTTTTACCTGGATACGAGAAAAAAGTTTTAAAAATCGCAAAAAATATTTATGATACTGTAACCTCTATTTGCATATAAGACATCTACATTATAAGTGATTCTCATTGGCGGATCTAGAAAGGGGGGGTCAGATATTCACAGGGCCAGAAAAGGCAAAAGTGAACCTTCGTTATTGCAAATGAAAACTTTTTATAACGTACATAATGAATTTTATATTGTTTTTCAGTTTGTTCTATATTGAATGTAAATTGTTACCTGTCAATAAAAAATGCATTGTAATTCCCATGCCATCCCTGGTATTGACCAATTGCAAGCTCATGCATTTGTATTGCTAATTTATGCCAATATTCACCAATGTTATAAGTTAAAAAAAAAACATAATATAACAAATACAATACTTGAAATCAGACAAAAACAAAACAAAAAAAAAAAAACGAACAAATAAATGTCGGCTTTATTTGTGAATAATCTGTCCAATTTATTTTCAGAACTGTTTTTCAAGAAAAGTAAAAAAGGAAACGGCTGTTGATGTTGAACAACTCCCTTGAACCAACTTTATCTTTCCCACTTTTCTTCAAAGTGAAATGAATGAATATCATTGAGTGAAAGAGTTAAACTTTTGAAAAGATTTCTGATTTTAATTAAATGGCAGATGTTTTAAGTTCACCATTCACTTTTGCCATATTTTATGGTGCTAATTAAACATAGAAATGACCCTGTCGTAAAAAGGAATAGGCTTATAATGATAACCATTTTTGTTAGTCATTCTATTTTTCCAACATACTATTATATGTAATTAGTTTTCTGGATTTTATACATGTATATAGATAATATGCTAATTTAATAAAGATGACTTGCACATCAATTTCAAGTTTGTATTTTTTATGAAAGTTATGGTCCTTATATTCTGGAATGTTTTAAGATATTGGTGAAAATCGAGTTTCTTGATGTTTGACCCATTTGATATGAAAGCATCCACAGGTAGTGAATATATATGAGTTAACAATATTTTACAAAGGAATATACATGAAAAAATCTTCTCAAGAACAACAAAGCCAAATTGGGATGTATATTGGGATTACAGACACGACATTCTTTTCTCTTGTACTTCTATTAAACTTAGCTTTGTCACCTGCACCAAAGGCTTAAGGGCAGATGAAAAATGAGATGACGCAAACAAAAAATGGATTCCTGGATTTAGATATATTTTTAAGCACCGAGGGAGAACATGTTTGTTAATCATATTTTAAAATGAAATTGAAAAGAAATTGAGAAATTCTAGAGAATCATTTTTTTTTTAATATTTGGACTAACCCAATCAAAATAAAACTGATCCCGATCAAAATTAACACAGAATGAATAAAATACTAATTTATTGCCTCTTTCATGTAGCTACAATGAAGAAATCTACTTGATTGTCAAGCTCAATAATCTTTGACCCTTTTTACACCTAATAAGATTAGTGTTGCTGGGGAAATGTTATTTATTTCCATTAATTGTACTTTCATGGTTGGAGTCGGTTAAATTTTGATCGAGTTTGGTCAAAGTTTAAATGATTAATTTATTTAAAATTTGGCTATTTCGTTTCAATTTCTTTTATAAATATGATTAACAGACATGTTTTCCCCAGTTACATGTATGACTGGTTTTCAAAAGATTTTTATCCACAAGTTTAAAAAATATTCACAAATAACATGTTTTATTTTCATACATATTTTTTCCATTTTCTTTGGAAAAATATCAAAAAAATCATATAAAAAATTAAGAGCTAAAATCGGCCTTTCAATGCTGAAACCTTTGTTTAAAAAGGTTGACTAATAGATCTATAAAATTAAAATTTGGTGTGGCATTCCTCCTTAAGTTCTTTAAATAGACACCAAGGTCAATGACCTTGTGACCTTGACTGTGATCTATATGCGAGTTTTCTCGAAATTTGTTAGCGCAGGGAACATCGTAACCAAAAGCGTGGTGACATTAAATCTCAGTCGTCAGTTTGTCAGTCCATCACAAAAATTTAAACCTTGCCCATAACTTCTGAATTACTGGAATTATGAGTTTCATATTTCACAGGTTTGTTCCTCGTGACAAGACATTTCTTTAGGTACCACCAATTTTGAACTTGACCATAGAGTTTGACCCACTTTTTACGCATACATCTTTAATTTTCACTTTGGCCATAACTTTTGAGTGGTAAATACTATCTTTTTAATATTTCACCTAGGTTTTTTTTTGTGGCAATACCTTTCATTTGATAGCAACAACTTTGACAATGACTTGGGAGATTTCCATCTCATGGAAAAAAACTTTGGCCATAACTTTAAAACGGAAAGAATTAGAGCTTTCATACTTCACATATGTAATCCTTGTGAAAAGTCCTTTCATTGGAGAACTCTGACTTCTGATCTTGACCTTGGAGTTTGGCCCACTTTTTATAAAAATTAACCTTGGCTATAACTTTTGAAGAGTTATGGCTTGGGATTTCATACTTCACATATGTAATGTTACAAGACCTTTCATTAGATAGCAAGCACTTAAACCCTTTGACCTTGGAGTTTGACCCACTTTAAAAAAACACTTGAATGGTAAGAGCCAGGGCTTTCATACGTCACACATTTATTCCTTGTGACAACACATTTCATTGGATAACAAGATTTTTGACCTTCTGTATTTGACCTACTTAAAAAAAAAACTTGACCTTAACTTTTAATATGAAGGGTTAAGCTTTCATACTTTACATATCTATTCCTTGTTATCTTTTTAAGCACGCACCTGCTATTTTAATATGACGTGACATAAAAACCACACAGATCCACCACTCTGTCCACACAGGAAATACCCATAATGACAAGAATAATAATTTTCGTAATGAGGGTAATCGTCTTCATAAATCCAGGCTTGTACAAATTGTATGTTTGTAAACATGATTTTTTGAATTGTAGATCCAAATAATTGAAATTTGTAGTGATATCAGTTTCATTTTCTTCATATAGATATGTCAAACATCCAAATGTGTAGTTCCGAATATAAAACTGTTGACATTAAGTATATAATTATAACGAATGTGTATATCTTTCATGTTGTAAACTTGTTTTACGGAATATATATTTTCGCGCTGTGATGAAAACGCAGGTAATTCACAACTCTTCAATTTTCAAGTCTACACGATAATCGAATTTTGATTATGAGTACCTTTCATATATTAGCTGCAGAACTGTAGCTCTCTGCTTGAGAAAATTCGGATAGATAAAGCAGAGAGCTACAGATCCAAGCGTTGTAAAAACCTTCGATTTACGCCGACGATTTTTTGTCGCTACTTTAGGTATTTATTTCGTGTAGATTAATCTTTCTCATGCTTCTAGAATGGTATCCTATAACAGTCCACGTATTTTAACTCTTATATTTGACCTTTGTTTACCTTTTAACGGTCCGAAACAGTCCTGTATATAGTTTTGTAATGTCGGTTAAAGAGTTCCATTTCGACGTCCGTAACCACAAACAGCCATTTGTTAGCGTTGAGAGGTAAGTAATTAAATGATCAGGAATTGAAGTTGAATGTATGAATAATTATTAAATACCATTTAAAATTATTTCCAAAGCTTGGGGAAGTATAAAATACACAAAAAAATACCCATAATGAGCGACGAAAAAAGGTCGGCGTAAATCGAAGGTTTTTACAACGCTTGGATCTGTAGCTCTCTGCTCTATCTGTCCGAATTTTCTCAAGCAGAGAGCTACAGTTCTGCAGCTATTCATATATATATATATATATATATATATATATATATATATATATATATATATATATATATATATATATATATATATATATATATATATATATATATATATATATTAAATACTTCGGCTATAAGTGATATTTATGGGAAAGTTAAACATCGAAATAAAGATGTTATCTCTTTAAACCAGAATGCTGATGCATTTAATCTTATATCTTTTTCCTACTCCTCTAGGTTTATTAATAATATCAGTTAGGTTTTTTGAACTATTACTGTTTCGAGATCAAGCTATGATAACTTCTTATTTTAAGGACTGGAAATCTTTCGACCGGAAGTAAATTTTACAAGGATATTTGACCTTACTATAGACAGTAGCAGTCTGAATAATATATCTAAAAATATTTCAAATTCTTTTTCTATAACAGATATTTATTGGAGATTAAAATACTCAAATTTACGTTGTTTTTCTCATATTAGCGGAAGTTGCCGTTTTTGTTTCCGGTGGGAGTGATCGACATATTTCGAAACAGCAAATAAGATGCAAAACTGTTATGCCATAAGGGATTCAAAAAAGAAAAGTTGAAATTTTCGATTTATTTGATCACTTCCTATGACGACCGGAAGTGACAGCTGTAATCCAATTGGATTTGCCCACTCATCAATATCTAGTATTCCTTTAAGTTTGGTGTCTTCTTCTCTTTCCGTTTTCGAGATCTCGATATGATAACTTCTCATTTTGAGGACAAAAAATCACGCGACCGGAAGTGAGTTTTGCAAAGATATTGGATGATACTGTAGACATAAGCAGTCTGATTAACTTCTTCAAAAATCATTTCAAATACTTTATCTATAAAAAGTATTTATGGGAAAGAAAAATACTCAAATCATATAGGTTTTCTCTTATAACTGTAAGTTGTCGTTTTTGTTTCCGGTAGGACTCATATGGTTCAAAACTACAAATATGATGCTAAAAAGTAATGCAAAAAAAGTTGCATAAAAGGAAAGTTGAAATTTTCGATTTCTTTTATCATTTCCTGTGGCGACCGGAAGTGACGGTGGACAATCTTATAACAATCTTATAACAAGGAATTCCCCAACTTATCAAGATCTATTATTTCATAAGTTTGGTGTCTTAATCTCTTACCGTTTTTGAGATCTAGCTGTGATAACTTCTCATTTTGAGGACAGGAAATCACGCGACCGGAAGTGAATTTCATAAAGATATTGGAAGTTACTGTAGACATTAGCAGTTTATATAACATATCCAAAAATCATTACAAATGGTTTTTGTATAAAAGATATTTATAGGAAAGAAAAATGCTCAAACTATGCAGTTTTTCTCTTATAACCGGAAGTTGTCGTTTTTGTTTCCGGTGAGACTGCTACATTTCAAAACTACAAAGAAGATGCTTTAATTTGATGCAAAATAAGTTTCATAAAAGAAAAATTGATTTTTTTAATTTCTTTGATCACTTCCTGTGACGACCGGAAGTGACGGCGAACAATCTTATCCAAATTGTTTTTGCATACTCATCAAGATCTATCTCTCCTTTAAGTTTGGTGTCTTTATCTCTTACCGTTTACGAGATCTAGCTATAATAACTTCTCATTTTGAGGACAGGAAACCAGGCGACCGGAAGTAAATTTTACAAGGATATTTGACGTTACTGTAGACATTTGCAGTCTGAATAACATATCTAGAAACCATTTCAAATACATTACGCATAAAAAATATTTATGGGAGAGAAAAATACTGAAAATATGCAGTTCTTCTCTTATAACCGGAAGTTGTCGTTTTTGTTTCCAGTGAGACTGATATATTTCGAAACTACAAACAAGATGCTATAATGTGATGCAAAAAAGTTTCAAAAAATAAAAAGTTGAAATTTTCGATTTCTTTGATCACTTCCTGTGACGACCGGAAGTGACGGCGCACGATGTTAACCCGATTGGTTTTGCCTAATTATCAAGATCTATTACTCATATAAGTTTGGTGTCTTCATCTTTTACCGTTTATGAGATATGACTCGGACAAAACTTTTTTGAAAAAAGCGGAAATCGGACATAACTGACGACCGGAAGTGAATTTTGAAAAAATGAAAAAAACGCCTGAGCGT